ATCCATTTTATTCCATCTCCTACATATAGCTGTGCTGTTTGTGAAGTCAGTGAGGAGGAAAACAAATAGATGCTTTTCTCCACCAGTTTTGCTTTAATAAACCAGCTAAATTTCATCAAATCCCACGGGAATCATCCAAGAAATATTTTCCTTACAGATTAATAAGGTTAGTACATAAATCTTGGCTCAAGTCATGCTTAATAAGCATGAAGATTGTTTGGGAATCAAGATCAATTAGAGTCTAACTGGTAATCCTGTGCAGATTAGAACTACATGAATGAAAATTAAGCTGCAATATTTATTTACAAGTGGATAAAAGATTTAAAGAATTGCCAAGCATATATGGTCAGAAGAAAAGAGTAGCAAAAATAAAACAAACTCCAGTGCTAATATTCACAATGCTACATCAGTCTTACCCAACATAGTACCCTCCAGTTTTTAAAAAAAAAAAACAAAAAAAAAATGACAATTCTAGTAGCATTTAGCAAGCTATGGTTTAAATACATGTAGAGGATGGCAGGTTTCAATCTGCCACATTCAAATATTCTAAAATTCAGTGCTCACCATGTCTGCACTTCAAAGAGGTCTGGTCCCCTCCTTTCCAATATCTTTTGTGGGACATCAGTCTCCTGGAAATATTTGCACATTCAATATGACTATCTGCAGAAGGAACGGCTTGCCCATGAACCAGGACTCTGATAAGGCAAAGTCATATTGTGTTTGCAAGAGAAGTATTCAAGATATGCTTGTTGTGAACATGGCAGACGTTTGAATAATAGCTCAAATATGTAATGTAGCATGAAAACTTGGAATTCTTTTACACTAAGTATCATAGCACCAATAGCAGCTTCCTAGTACTAGAAGCAAGAGTAAATTATCTAGCCTGTTATATCATTAACTTCATACGTGGTTAATACAAGATCAGATGAATATTCTTGTGTTCTCTGTGCCAAATTCCATTCATCATTGCATGCATTAAAAATACAGATCAGATGTGTCCAACCCATGGCCCCACAAGATCATAAACTTTTAATATTTCATGTGAATTTTACATTATAAAATGATATTGTATATGTTATATGCAGCCCAAGATAATTCCTCTTCACTCAGTGCAGCCCAGGCAAGCCAAAAGTTTGGACATCCATATTTTAGATGAAAAATTACTTCACAAATATACAAGTACAGGACTGATGCAAGATATTGTACCAACTGCAGCAAGAATTATCTTTTTTCCCTTTTGTTGCATCAAGATAGATTGTCTTGCAAATTAACACCTTGCTTCAGAGCAAGACATCCTGGAGTGAAAAATCAGGGGCTACCACTGTTGTAAAGCATAGAGCCAATTGTATGTATGGGGTTTCTGAAGCAGACAGAAAGAGAGGCAGACAAACCTCAGTAGAAGGCAGTCTGCTTTCCCATTGTATCTGCAGTACCACAGAACAAAACTGAAATATCCTGCAATGTTTCTAGGCTTAGGACACCTCATGTGACAGGATGTGGTATTTGGCTACCATTCTGAAGTTGGCAGTCAAGTACCTACAGCAATCAGAAAAAAGCATGCGATAGCTACCCTTTGAGATGGAAATCTAATCCTGCATTAATTCTATGTATTTAAAATTTATGGTGAAGATCAGTTTCTTCATTTTGTTTTGTTTTTTTTACTCCAAGGGAATATTTTTATTTTTTACTCATAGAAAACTTGGGAGGTAAACCAAAAATTATCTATAGTATTCTACATAAGGTCTTTATCCATTTCTTTCACTGCAACACATTAATCTTTATCAGTATTCTCTTGGTCTACTAATTTGTCATCTTGTATTATTACAACTTTCAATAGCTTTCACTATTATCATTAATGAGATAATAATATCACATCATTTTTTTGTATTTTTTTAAGGTTCATACTGAACAACTTGTAATCTACCAAAATCTACCAAAATCACCATCTATCAAAGCCCCTTTAATGGCTTACAAAGGCTTAAATAGGTCAGTTCAGCCACCATTTGTTCTCAAGTATCTAACCAAAGTAGCTATGTAATGTGTTGCCAAAAAGGAAATGCAGTTTATTTTCTTTCTATTTCTATATGTGTATGTATAAACTTGCATCTAGTTCTGTTTGTATTAATTTCTAGTTGTACATGTGCTAATTTAAACTCAGCAATAGTTAAGTTGTGGATCTGCTCAGTCAATTGCCCAGATGCTAATTGTGGATGGCAACTCCAAAGGCTATAATAATCTCCATATTTTTTTTTAAAGACACATTTAAACTGGGAGATTGAAATAGAGAAATATCCTCTGAAAAATAAATTCTCATGGATTATGAAATATATGCTTTCAATTACTATTTCGTCAGCTCTAAGTCTCAATATTTTATATTCTATTTTAGCTCTCTTTATATCCAGGTCATATACTAGTATTAACATTAATATTGATGATTTCCACAAACAAAAATCTATATTCTACAAAGAAAACTAATCGCAAAGCATGCCATAAAGGTTCTTAAATAGAAAGAATGCTAATAAGTCCTTCAATTCAGGAGAATACATAAACTAGAGCTAAGCTATTATCTAATTTTAGTACTTGCTAAAAATAATCAGACATAATGAAATAAAGCAAAGAAGTACCTAAACCACTGTGCACTGTACCAAACATTCATTTCGTATTGAAGCTGCCTGCCATCTTTTTGTTCCTCTCAACTAGAGAATGGATCTTTTCTAGGCCTTACTCAATTCCTAATCTAATACCTTGTCTAATAGATCAGGTGATATTACAGAGAGGATTTAACTGAAGAAATATTGACAGTATCCATGTCTCTTAATAGGGACAAACAGGGACCCTCTTGGCAGTAGGCCTAGTAAAATCTGTATCTACCAGCTTTATTTACATCTTCCATTTTTTAATGGGGGGAAAAAAGAGAGACACAAGTGAAACAGAGAGGGACACTAACAAAGGAAGGAATAGCATTTTGGAGAAGCTTCACTGCTTGAGGTACTGCAGAGCAGGCAGACCACTTAGCAAGTAGAGTTGGATCCATTGATTGGCATTCCCCATTCTAGTCCTAGATGTTTGTTTGGCTTTTACAAATTTGGTGTTCCAGGTGTTCATGTTTTATTCAAACTATTGCAAATTAGTTATCTTTTCCCGCCCTCTCAAGTACCAAAATTACTATTCTGAGTGTGCTTATGTTTCCAAACTTGCCTCTTTAAATCTTCCACACCTACTCTCAATAACTATTAACTAGGATATTTCATTATGAACTAAAATTATACAGTTTACCTCCAACTCTCAATTCCCCAAAGGCTTGACAAATATTGGTAGCCTTTCTCAAGCTTGCCGTATTGCTCACACTTTATTCTTTCTCAGCTTTGAAGAATGTAGCCTTCAGCACAGATCCTACCAGTAAGTACATCCCCTGGAGCTCTCTAATCAAAGACAAACATGATCGGCACGCAAGTTTTGGTTGACCAGTTTTGGGAGAACTTTCACCCAAATTTCCCCAGTAGCATTATTTCTATTTCAGTAAAAATGGTAGCAATGGTCAGCAGTGATTAAACAACAAGTAAAGGTAGTCCTCGACATATAGCCTTTCATTTGGTGACTGCCTGAAGTTACAACAGCATTGAAAGTGACTTATGACCGTTTTTCATACTTAGGACCATTGCAGCATCCCTGTGGTCATGTGATCAAAATTCAGATGCTTGGCAAACTGGTCCCTATTTATAACAGTTGCAGTGTCCCATATGGTCACCTCTTGTGACCTTCTGACAAGTGAAGTCAATGGGGAAGCCAGATTCACAGCTGAGTTACTACTTAATAATTGTAGTGATTGACTTAACAAGAGTGGTGAGAAAGGTCATAAAATGGGGCAAAACTCACTTAATAAATGTTTTGCTTAGCAATAAAAATTATGGGCTCAATTATGACCATAAATCGAGGACTACCTATAGATAGATACCAGCTGCCCAGAGTCATCCAGCTATTTTTTTTTTCAGAAGGCCCAGGGGAGGATTCAGTAAATGTAGCCTTTTTGGAACAATTGCTACCGACTAAAGATGCATTAGAATAATGTTGGACCTAAGAACAACTGGGAAGGTTTGATTTGTTTGTCTTCTATTCAGAACCGTTCTTACCATTTTGTTATTTATTATTAGTTGCTACTCAGATCTTTGATTTAAACAAAGTATTTTGCTTAGTGTATCACAGCATGTCTGTAGGAGATGACCAGGCTGAGCCCAAGGGAGGGGTCAAATGCATCCTCAGTCTCAAGTCCTTTCACACCTACAAGAGATCTAAGTCCAGTCCACCTTGAATTCTGTTGACCTTTATTGCCAATTTGCTTTGACCACTAGAAGTTCAGATTATTCTAGAGAGCCTTGGCCCTTGGATACAAAATTAATTTGAATTGCCTGGACTCCTGATTTCCTGCGCTTGACAATATCCTAACTTGGAGTTTTCAGATTTATTGTATTTCAAGCCTTATAATTCCCAAATAGAATAATCCATGACCATTGGAAATGGTTATATTACCTGCAGTGTTTCAACTTGGGGAATGCTACTTACAAAATTAGGAAATGGAGAGTAAAATTATTCATACTTCCCGCAATTAAGGTTTCAATTTTCAGTTCCGGACTCCTCCACTTGGAAGAGGTCTCAGGTAAAGAAAGACATCTTATTTCGATCAGAATAAACAGCCCTAAGACAGGTGAACCAAGGTCCTGGCAATATAAGATAATCATCTTCTAGGCAGAGTTCTCCAGCTCTGTCCAGTCAGTCCTGAGGGTCGGTTTGTTCTTATTTTATGCTTTTTCCTTGCTTGCTGGACCCCAAATCAATAATTTCAGCGCTAGGACCTGGCACAAATTACCCCTATTTTAGGTTTTAGATCCAATATCGACGTGGAAATTGCTATATCAAAGAAGTCCAAGTCATCGTGATATTTAGATCTAGATGCAATCTTAAGGGGAACTAGCCATTGTTCTCCGACTCCCTGGTTCAATGTCTTATTGCTTGCAGCTGTAAACCACTTCTTCCTGCATGCACTGCTGACATTCCACATAGCAGCACCATTGCACTTGGCAATGGCAAGAGAAGGTAACAATGTGTGTCTGGATATTGTAACCCCGGCCACAGCACATACTGTCACAGTTGGCCTCACGGGAACACGTCCTTCCAGCCGTGCCGACTGAATACCTGCTAGATCGGCAGAAGCTAGGAGAATCTTCCATATAAACCAGATCAGTGGGGCGTGGAGTAGTAGGACCTTTAGCTAAGTGGCCATGATGTTGGGGGCTCACCAGCTCTGATTGTCCCATAGCATCATTGGTGACACTGAAGACTTTGACAGCACCATCATAGCGTAGCTTCAGGAGCTTTCCTGTCTCGTGGAAAGGAGACAACTGTTTCCAGCAAGTTCTCACAGCACATGAGCCAGACACACCATGGCACTTGCAAGTGGTCTTCAGGCCGTTTTTCACAGCCTGTGGAAGAGAAAAGAAAAAATTATTAGCCATGTTACAGAGTTATCAGTGAGTAATTAGAAGAAAGAAGGAAGGAAATCAGAAAATGTATAAAGTAGGATCATCCATACAAATAGATTTGACCATTCAAGTAATGATCTCTCCAGATAACTCACCAATGAATCCAGGAACAATCTTTGTTTAAGTGCATTTCAGTCAGTTACCTTATTCACTTGGTAACTTTGGCTGGTGCTTTCTCAATCCTACTTGCCTCACAGAACTGTCTGTTACTAAGTGTATAAACTGAAGAGAGGACCCCATCCCTCCCCATAAGATATCTTGAGCCCTGGAGGAAACAATATAAAGGAAATCTAACACTTTAATAACCAAACTTTAATTCATAAAGGCAAAGGAAATCAAATTACAGTACACAAAGACCAAGCAGTTATTACCAACTAAGCTTTTGTAGATTAATGTCTGCTGTTCATATATACAATTGTACCAACTATATTGCTCAAATTTAACTTCGGCAAGCATAAGAATTGCATAATCCTAATTAACCCCAAAACAGTTCAGCAATTTCATGTTGGAATCTTCTTTTGGACATTATTGAAATCTAGAATGTCAAACAGACATAAACCCAGACTGTGCCTGAAAAATATTTTTATGGGTCTCAGCACAAGAACCATTTTAGAGAAAGAAGGAGCAGGGAAAGTGAAATGATTAAATTTATCAATAATTGTTATAAAATATAAGATAAAATCAGGGAACTGGCTATTGAAGGATTTAGTTTTCAATAGTTTTTTTGTATGTTAAGAGAAATAGATTAAGGTAGATAACAGGACATTTAGAATTGAGTAACAGAAGACCATATTTGAAATTGAATTATGTACAAATGATAAATATGTAATTGCCTAAAATATATAAACTCTTGCTGAAATTCATGGAAATGAATAAATAAAAAATGTATGATAAAAATAGGCTAAGAATTTTAGACATAATATATTGTTGAAACAGTGAGAAAGCATGTGATTGAAAGGACGGAAAATTCAAATTTTGTAATCATCTAAAAGGGACTTTTTATAAAATGATGTACCTTTGGTGCATGATTCCAGAAAGATTATCTAGAATGCATTAATCTACTTCAGATTTATGTTGCAAATGTGGGCAACTTGAAGGGTCATTTTATCTTCCTTGGTAGTTTTGTAGAAAAGCAAAATTTGGGGCAAAATTCAGTTAACTGTTTCTCTTAACAACCAAAATTTGAAACTCAATTGTGGTCATACATTGAGAACTACTTATATCCACATAGTTGGGACTAATTGCTTCCTCATTATTTTAGGTTACACCACCACACAGAGATGATATGATAGCCCACTGAATCAGTGCCTCTGATTTCTGAGTTGACACACAGAGGACTGTACTGACTGTGGTATTTAAGCAAGTAATTTATCAGAGAATCAACTTTGCATCTGAAGACAATATTTCTGAAAAATGTAGTGTGTTTCCTGCTTTTAGGTGGCATGTATATATGTAGAAAACAGTATCCCTTAGGGAAAAAAACCCAAGGAAAATCTTGCATATTGCAGAGCTACAGCTTTTTATAAATGTTTTACATTCTCTCTGAATGCCCATCCAGTTTAAGTCAAATTTAAACATCAAGATACAGTGAGGTGTTCCATAATTTATCTGAAGGATGCCCGCTGACAAAAAATCTGCTGTAACCTGTACACAAGAGCATTTATCCTCTCTACTTCTTAAGCCCTATCCATGCAAGCTTTTAAGCATTTCCAAATATTGTTTGTGCATTTCTGACCCAACCTTTGCATTAGGGTTGTCAATTTAGGATTTTGTAAAGATGTGGTCAGACAGTAGCCTCTGAATCAACAGGGAGAAAGAAATGACCCATCTCATTAAAAATGCTTGCTTTATTCTCCCCTGTTACATAAACATTTTTTATAATGTCACTGTGGAAACCACTGTTTGGACCATATGCTGCCAGGAAAGATACAGATCTGGTATTTCAGAGTTCAGTTAATTCCCCCGTGGGAGTGGAATGGTGATAAAGATTACAACTTTTTATTTTCCACCTCTTTCTCTCTCTCCTGAACTGGTCCTGCAGCAAATTCACCCTTACCTTGATGCCCACGTTGGTGTTATGGATGTCCACCTTGGCCCTCAGATCTTTCCCAACCTTCTTCTGGCCCAAGAAGTTCTTCAGGAACCTGATGCTATACTTGAGGTTGTCACCACACACACCCCACTGCCAGGCTTTGCGGTTCTCTAGGCCAGGTGAATCGTCACAGGTACAGCGCTCCATTCGCCCAGCACTGCATGCTCGAGCAAGGGAATGAGTTAATGCTGCTGAAGACACTGCATAGAGAAATGCTGTTTCTTTGAAACCTAGGAAAACAAAGCCAAGCAGGAGTGAGGAGAACACATCATAAGAAAGAACTGAATAAATCTAAGCTGGAAGTGGGGATGCAGACAAGAAGCCCTTGTACTATTTGCATGCCTCAACAGGCAACTGGTGGAAGTTCTGAAGTTTTGCTTCTCTGTGGCTTTAACCTTTGATTGGGATCCCTCCTATAAGAAAAGTAAATCCTGCTGTGGTCCTTAGCTCTTGAAACTAATTTGTTGTTTTCTCCACTAGAAAGTTGCTTAATTAAATGCCTGCCAACAAGATAAACTGAAGCCTTTCTTCATGCCTTTGAGTTAGTCTTGACTTCTGACACTACATAAGTAAGTCTCTACAGTTCTCTTGGCAACATTTTTCAGAAGTGCTTCTCATTCCCTTCCTCCTAAGGCAAGGGTGTCAAACTTGTGGCCCACGGGACAGATGCATCATGCACTGGCCACGCCCACCCCAGTTTAGCAAAAGGGGAAAAATTGTGATACATCATGTGATGGCAACATGATGCTGCGAGTTTGACACTCCTATCCCAGGGGTGGGATTCTACCAGTTCGCACCTATTCACTAGAACCAGTTGTTAACATTCTGAGCAGTTCGGAGAACCGGTTGTTAGAAGAAATTACCGGCCTAATCCTGTAAGGAAGGCAGGAAGGAAACATTCTGGTGTTGCTTACAGAAACTGCCTCTCCATTAACCCCTTATTACATTCTTGGCAGGACTAGACTTCCTGTCTCAGGAACATCTCTGGAGTTTTTTTCCTCTCCTTTGCTGGTACTTTGTTTGTGTGGAGTGACCATTCAAAGTTACAATGGCACTGAAAAAAGTGACTTATGACCATTTTTCACACTTACGACTGTTGCAGCATCCCCACAGTCATGAGAGGCCAGGCAAGGAGACACATATCTCGATGTGGGTGATATTGAGTTGGCCACATCCAGTCAATAACATGACCACCAAGCCATGTCCACCCAGTCACATGACCACCAAGCCACACCCACCACCTAAGCCACACCCACAGAACTGGTTGTTAAAAAATTTGAATCCCACCCCTGCCCTATCCTAATGGTATACTAAAGTGCCTGGCCTAAAGTCATAGTGTCTGTGTCTAAGGCAGGTGTCCAGCCTTGGCAACATTAATATTTGTGAGAGTTGAAGCCCACAAGTCTTAAAGTTGCCAAAGTTGGACACCCATGGTCTAAGGCAAGTCTACAATTCTGATTTCCTCACTTCTAGTCTAACGCTTTATATAGTACAACCAGACTGACATTCATACAACCAGAAGAATCTTACTATTGATTAATATCTTGAAACTAAAGTGAATATTGGAAATGTTTTTCCTTAATTTTTTTGATAAGGCACATTCTTTTATTAGTAGTTTGTTTGAAGTATTGCTTTGCTATCATCTTTTTTTTTTTAAATCATGCAGGCTGGAGAATTCTGGGAGTTGAAGTCTTCAAGTTGCTAAGTTTGGGGACCCATGGTACAGTATTGGAGTCTTAGACTACTAGCTATTGTGAAAGAGTTTTAAAAAACCACATCCTACTGTTTTGCAAACAATCTTGAACAATGGAAACTGCTATAAAAGGTTTAATACAAATAAAATGAGCTTGGGTTCCAGCACACTTTTAGGATCAGAGCCTGAGCGGCAAACATTGGAATATCACATCTTTATATTTAACAAATGACATGAAAAAGAAGCGAGCGAGAATTCCATGCAGACAACAGGCTAGTAGAAGAGAAGAGAATAGTTTGTTCTATTCCTTCCCCGTCAGGGAACTAGTTCCTATAATAATTGCACACAGGAAGAAGAACAGTTTCGTAAAAGCTAGAGAATATCACAAACTAGAGGAGAATAAAAGATCACCGCTATCCAGCCTACTAAAACTCTAATCGCCTAGTGCTTATATTTTGGGGTCTAGAGAAGAAGGCTTCTTCTTATCTACATTCAACATTGAAAAAGAGGTAACCAAGTTAATTAAAAATGGCAGCCTATAAATGTTGTGATTTGTTGACAAGATTAAATTATCTCTCCTGTGATGCCCTTTTTGCCTAGCTTCTAATTATGATTGAAGGAATTGGACAGAATCCCAAAGCAAGGAGGAAAAGCTTTTGATTTGGGGGTTTTGTTTTTTTTCATAAACCTAACAAAACAGATGTTCCTATTTACCTCTCTTCAACAAGTTCGCCCTCCCATCGAGGCTGCAGTTCCAACGCTCATTGCGAAACTGGTACTGGCACTCAAGGACTCCAAGCTGAACGGCTTCCCGTAAAGTCTCAGCCAGCCCTGGCTCCCGACGACAGAGCCTCTTTTGCTTCTGGGAAAGCCTTAGCAGATCACATTGCTTCAAGTGAGCCTTCCAATGTGCAGGATTTGTTGAAGATCCCAGCAGTGGAAACTGAATCAAGGTTTCTTTTCCGGTCAGGCTAAGAGAAACAGAAGTAAGTTTGGCTTGGCTTGATAAACCAGAGAAAGCATTATTGCCACTAGGCATTAACAGATAATCAGTATGATGGCCATCTCAGTTACCCACCCCCATGTAAGCTTTGGGCTGACTTAGATGTAGAGAAACGAAGTGGCTACAGAATTGAAAGTGGTGGGAGAAAGTGCGAAGCACTTCTACTAAAAATCCCACACCTCAGACAAAGCAAAAGAAGAAGAAAAGATATGGATTGATAGAGATGCACTGTGGGGGACTCGCCAATAAGAAAAGAAAAAAAAGCTTGGCAAGCTTTTGAGTGAGGTGAACAGACAAATTTGGAGGCTGAATGTTTCACTCAATCTATTTTTTTCCATTAAAACAATTTGCTGCAGTATAAGGAATATAAAAAGAACCAGGTGGCTACATTCTAATGGAGATTCTAAACTCTATTAGAAACTTGTGAAGTCAAGTCTACAGTTAAAGGTATTTCCTAATGCCACACTAAGCTGTAGGAAGACATGAATCACAATATAGCGTCTTGGGTCCTATAAGGGAAAGATTTTCCTATAACCCTAGGAATGCAAAGCACATTAAAAGAGGAGGACAGATAATCAACATCCAGTAGATATGCCTTTTAAAAAAAATTTATTTACTTTACTTAGTTTTTAATTTTTTACTTGCTGAAATGCAAATCATCTACTACTTACATTTTGATGCAGAGAATATGATTTCCCTTTGTGGTCAAAATTCAAATATCTTTAAGGAAGGTTTGCCTTAGGAACAGGTTTCAGTAAAAGAAAACTTTGAACAGTGAACAAATGTTGGGAAGGATTTTAGAACTGTTTTCATTTAGCTAGTGCCCTCTACAGCTATTAGACAAAGTCTCAAATTATTCTCCATTAGAATAATGATGGAAGGTGATAGGAATTATACCTAGTATTTGCACTACTTGTAAAAAAGAAAAAAGGAAACCTAAAGCTAAACTATATATTGTAGTGGTGTCTCTTTCACAGAGGCATAATTCTGGGAGTTAGTGTACATAATTTAAAGCTGCTAAGGTAGAAAAACACTGATTTGGATGAATTACCAAAACTGATTTACTTCCATTAAACTAAGCTTAGTCAGAAGTAGCCAAAACCACATTCTTTAACTGGATTTCATTGCATTGGAAGATTTCATGTGATTGTTCCAATATCCACACATTTAGCCTAAATTAGAATAAGTTAATCGTTTCAAAGGCTGCCCCTTTGCTATACGGTAACTACGGTAATTTTATATGTAAGTACACACTTCATATGAAATGAGTATTCTCAGAATTTGTCTTCAGAACTTAGGTATCACCAGAAAGAACTATTAAAGATAGCTTGCTATTTTTTTTCTTTTGATGAGGGTTTTTTTTTTAACATGGCATTTAAATCTTTCCTACTAGTCGGGGATTTGCTCTTAACTTTGTTTCCAAATCAACCAACTTGCTGATACATTAGCTACATCATATGCATACTATCTAAGAACAATAATATAAAAGTAGTATAAAAATATTTAGATGATATTTACAAAGTGGAATGTTATATTGAGATTATATCATAGTTTCATTTTATCGGCCAGATTTTAGGGTTGAAAGCAAATTATGAATTAAATCTGACTGGGATTTTGTAGTCTTACCAAATTTGGGAAGATAGATCTTTGAATATCTAGGCTCATTTATTTACAATGCATTTTTCTAGCATTCTTGATATCATATTTCATTATGACTCTATCATCTTTCCATCTGTTACCGCACACAAATTAATATATTGTAGAAGGAAAGATTGTCAAGTTAGGAATCACTCAGTTTTTCATACAAGACCAAGTGTTCATAGGCTAAGTTCAGAAGGAAAGTTATTGTAACAAATTGCCCAATGAAATAAAAATGGCCATTTTGTTCTTAGAAACAACAAACTTGGATAGTATTAAAATGTCTTTGGAACATGCTACTCTTTCTATATCTCTAAGAAATTATATCAGAGTTTAGTTGAAAAATCACAGCCAGGAGAATGCAATTGAGAATACAACTTATAAGTTGGAGCCAAACTCTAAATTATGTTACATACTTCTGAGCCATTTCCTCCTCTTATCCTCTGCCCTTTAATTGCCCCCCACCAAAAATAACCCTGAAATGCATCCTTAGGTCTAATGATTTTATCGTTATACATTTTTATTCCAACTGTTTTGTTTTAATGGGTAGAAAACACTTTAAGAGCAGGTGGATTGATTCTGACTCTAAAAATGTGAGGAAAGAGTCAAGCATCTCTTCTCCCTCAACCCCATTCTCTAAGTAGAAGAAAAAAAGAGAGGAAAACTGCCAGGAAGTTGAACATAAGTCTCTTGGTTTTTAATTTTAATTTTATAATTCATCTACCATCCTGACCATCATCATTCCAAACCAATCTCTCCCAATATTACTCATGCCGCTGATGGCTATTGCCCTCAAGATTCTGCCTCTGCTGCCTGTATATAACCCAGTCCTGAGATTGGACATTTCCTGGACCTGACCTGAGTTCATTTACAGGACAGGTTGTACATCAGAACCTGTGATCTATCAAGCATGCATACGCCTAGCGCCAGGCAGCCAAAAAACCTTCAGTCTTGAAAGAGCACGCAAAGGAAGAGATGCTTATCACCTACCAAGGGTGGAATGCTCAAACCCTCTCACCCACCCAGAGGTCTTCTTCCAGCCAATGCACGATGTCGGTTAATGATTAAGTAAGTAAAATTTCCAAATAACCAACTGAGAACAAAATGGCCGCAGGTTCATCAAGATACAAGCTGTGTCTATGCAGCACCCACATACCAGCTGAACACTTACCCTGTTCTAATTTCCTCTGGGCACTTGGAGCTCCAATCAGTTTGGAAGTGAACTAGACGGATCCTCAAACGATTTGGAAATTGCTGTCTTCTGTTGCACCCAACAGAAGACAGCAATTTCCAAATCGCTTGAGGATTAATAATACTACTATACAATATAAATTTTCTGTAACTATCAATTTATACAATTATTTGGATAATAGTAGTTCTTGGACTAGACAAAAACAGTCCAAAATCACAAGTTATTGGTATTGGCTGAATTTCCAAGAAGTTATGTTCTTAATGCTTGTTGTAAATTATGAGAAATATAGTTCAACATAGCTGTAGGAAGTAGGGACAACTGATTTAGATATTAATCACTGGTTGCTGCATTAAATATTTGTGCTGATTTGTGTTGTGCATGACCTGCACCTCTTCCTGCACTATGAGGATCTATACATTTTCATTCATGCCCTGGTTACTTCAAGAATGGATTACTATTATGCACTCTACCTGGAGCTGCCCTTGAAGAGCATCTGGAAGCTTTAGCAGCTGAATGTGGTTACATGGGCAGTTATGTGTGCCTCTTGGATGACACACCTTACATCTTTGCTCCATAAACTACATTAGTTGCTGATTTGCTTCCAGGTACAATTCCAGTTGCTGTTGTTGCATCTATCCATCCCATCAGGTCCTGCAAAAGAGATATGATCCAAGTTCAGACTGCTAAGGAAATCCTCATGGTGGGTCCCAAGACGCAACTTTTTTTTTCTGCTGTAGCTTCCACCTTCCAGAACATCACTCCCTCTGAGATAAGGTTAGCCCCATCTATGTTAGCCTTTTGGAAAGTTTTGGAACTATGGTTCTTCCATCTACCTTGGGGACCAAATGGTGAGCCCGCAAGATGTCTGAATGATGATTATCCTTCTGCTCTCCTAAGGTCCTTCTATGTTTTTATGTTTTACATTTATTGTTATTTCTGTTTGATCTTCTTTATACTGTGATATGATTTAATCATTATTTCTTCTTGTAAGCCGGCAAGAGTCACTTTTTGATACGGGCAGCTATGTAGATTTGCTATGCAAACAAAATAGGGACCCATTGCACAAGTGACTAGGATAGCAGCTATGTCACTCTAGAGTGTAACAAAGCAACAGCATGCAAAGATTGGAACCAAAGCAGGATGAATAATGACTAGTGAGCAAGCCGAGAAAAAGATGGAAATATAATTGTAAAGACATAATTGAACAAATTTGGATAATATTAAAATGAAATTGAATGTTTTCAGTATAAAATACATTGAAAATAGTTGCTATGGAACTGCTTTTTGAAAATAATAGAAATCATTGTTAATAGAATGTTGGTCCTAGTTGGTCTGTCTCAGTTGTATTTGATGAAATGGGACTGACATATAAATTTATAGCCCCCTCCAATACATAGAATTCTGTCCATTGGGTCCTGTTATTTAAGTCTAGCATCCAACACCTTGCCCCAAATTCCTTACTCTAAAACTGCTTTCTAGTTATCTGCAGAGTCTTTGCATCAATCACTGTCAATTTGCTATCTATTCTCCACTTCTCTGTTGGGAGACCCATTCATATATGGCTCAGAGGCCTTAGCTGATTTTTCTGGGATCAATTCTAATACTTCCAGATGTGATGAACTACAACTCCCTTCATCCTCAAGCAACAGTGTTCCACAGAACATATCAGATTCATTCTAGTTTAGCATCCTATGGGAAACTAAAGATGCCTATGGATGAAAGGAATTGTAGGTCAACACATGTAGGTAGACCAGACCAGGCCTCTAGATAGACTAGATCAACTCCACAGGATGACTTAAATTTGTATTGAGATTGGTTATAATAACAGAATCTTGCAAGTGTGCTTATACAACCACTTCCCTTCTTATAACGAATAAAGTGAATAAGGGATCACTCCCCAGTTCACTGAGGCACTTATGTAGGTTGTTACTTGTAGACTTAAAATAGTTTTCATTCATCATCACTCTAGTAATAGATCTTGCATATCTGTCTACATCACCTCCCATGTCAGCCTTGGTTCCTGCCCCCCTTTATGTCCAGAAAAGTCAAGGTTATAGAATAAAATGCTGCTCTCCTCCTCCTCCTCCTCCTCCTCCTCCTCCTCCTCCTCCTCCTCCGCTGCCAACTCCTCCAGATCATCTAAGTCCTGTAATGCAGCCATGCACTGAGATCAGAACATCAGGAGAGATCCCTGGGCTGAAAGCAAGCTCTTTCAATTGCAGCTCCCTTCACCCAGCAATGACTACAGCAGGGCTAAAGAGAAGTTGTCTACCAGAGGATGAGGAGGGTCATAAAATTGCATTCCACCCCCCCCAAGCAGACCTGGGGAACAAAACAGCAATCAATTGATCCTGGGAAAGTTGGCAGAGACCCTGGAGGTTTCAATTCCATTGTGTGCCCAGCCTCCTTGCCCTTCCAGACCATCCAACTGATAAAGATTAGAGAAGAAAGGGGAAACTGGTGCTAATGCTAATGACCAAGCAATGGCAGCTTCTGGAGCATCAGAGGAGGAGAAAATGACTCCTTTCTCCATTACCCCTGCTGTCCACAGCAGTTCCTATTGGAGCTCAGCACAACCAGGTTTCTTGAAGGGCAAGGAAGGACCTGGGATGCTAAGTACCTGCAGGCCCCATGTTAGATATCTCCCCTGGCTTAACAACATCTATCCTCTGTTACATAGTGCCCAACTGGATGTGTTTCTGAAGCTCACTTCTGTCATTTCCTGGCAACTATTATTTAAGGCAAAGTGCCTATGATTTTACAGGTAGTATTATTACTCACAAACAGCCTAACCTTCCTTGAATCTACAGGTTTGCTCTTAAAACTATCCAACCTGGCTAGTGTTGTTGACAAAGAGCATCAACAAGCTCACTCATTAGCTTTCAGAAGCAGAAAGTAGAATCTAAAAATTCCAGCATTTATCTGTGGCTGGTCCCTGCATTGGAAGGCTGGTAATAACAAACAGGAAACTCACTCAAAATATGCAACAGTCCCCATAAAGAATTGGAATAAAATGTTTTATCAACTAAAGGAACACAGCTGTTTCAAGATTGCGGTTCCCTTAAGTTGCTTAAACAACCAAATCCACTTAAAGCAATAATCAATATTTGTTTTGCATTAAGGAAGTGATAGCTGGGGGAAAAAAGAATATTACCTCTTGCTTGGGATATCAGCATGCACTTCCTGAAAGGAGAAAAGGCTGATAGAGATCTCATTCTGAAATGCAGGCAGAAATAGACACAGCATCCCCAGATGAGAGATACTGTTATAATTCTTGGCATTCCCAGCCAGTATTTCAAAGTGTGCCGTCCCAACATACTAAAATGCTAAAAAGATGGCCGGACTGCTGGCTGAGGAATTCTCAGAATTAGTCCACAAATCTTTAAGATGCCAAGATTTGAAACCACTGATATAGAGAGTATCTAGGTTGCTATACGTTTTGACTAAGATTGTAATTATCATCTCTTGGGAGAAGCTAAGCAGCTACCTCTATGAAACTCTGTAAGATAATGCTTGTATCCTTAGATCAGATCCAGGTTTGATCCTAATTCACCCATCAACATCCGTAGAATGTAGATACATTGCTAGTGATTTCAAATACATTTAATCTGCTTCCTGGTCTTGGATTCCAACAGTATTATTTGTATATTGTTGGATGCAGTGTACAAAATTGAACACAGCATTTCAAACCTGCCACAAATTCACATAAGGAGGCTTAGTAGATCTTTGCTGTAAGGAAAAATATATGCACAAGTTCAAAAACATTTTATTATTCCCATCTTTCTCCAAAACAGGTGCTGAAAACAATTCAAATCTCAAAGCCCCATTCTGAACTTTTAGAATTCAAGACTCAGTATTTTTAAAAAAAAAATCAAAGCCTTATAAGAGTATATGTACTGGTTTCTGTAATCCTTAATAATGAAGAATAAGAATAACTACTAAGAAGAAGCCCTGAAGTGCTCTAGTCTAGAAGTAGGCAATCTGTATTCTGCAGATCTTTTAGACTACAATTGCCATTAGAATGGTCAATTGTCAGGGAGGATGGGGCCTGTACTTTGTAACATTTAAAAGCACCAGTTTGTCATATCTAAAGTCCTAATCTAATCAGGCAGCATTGTACTTTCCATTTTCCCCTCTTTAACAGACTTTTTTTTTGTGGGGGGGATGGAAGAAATATTGGGAAAAGATATGTGGAAAATATCTACATTTGGATAATTTAAACCTTATGGAAGAAAGTAAGTACAAAATAAAGACTTCTAGAACCCAAACTATATTTATATGAAACCACTGACCTATGTATTTATACAATGTAGGAAACCACAATGAGGCTTAATTTTTGGCATTATGCTAACACATCCAACATGGTTTGTATATAACTGTTTATGCCTTAATGTATAACTAGAACTCAACAAACTGTAGTTTATTTAGGAAACCGTAATTAAACAAACCATAGTTTAGTATGCTGCAATAAGGCCAGATAACTACCTTGACACTATTGCTTCTGCAGGCAAACTCACTTCTCAGTATTTGTAAAAATACTGAATTTTGGGGGAAAATTTTGTAAGCAGACAAAAACATGGATTACATCATGAGCTGCTCTCAAATTTACGATTAGCAAACTGAATTCTGCTTCCTGGTTTACTAAAGATATAAAAACACTTGCATTGTTGAAACTAAGTAGTGAAGCAGAGTTAGACATTAAAACCAATGGGGAAAAAATGCCTATGTTTTGGAAAAAGAAGGGTGGAGGTTTGAAAACTAAAACTGTACCTGGATACGCAATCCCAGGTATTATACAAGAATCTTACAGATTAATATCTTTCCCTTGCTTATCAAGACAAATTTGATGCATACAGTATTTTACTGATGTATCTCTTGAGAAGTTTTGAAATAATATAATACAATCTTAATCCTTCATAAATAGGTCTCAATAATTAAAACAGTGTTTATCTTTAGGTAAGCATTTGTATGATTGCAGGCTTGAGCCAGAATGCAAGTTTTTATGCAAATACAATATCTTGAAATTCAAATCTTAAGAGAATTTCAAATACCTGCATCACAAGGCACACATATATGCATCCTCACACTACTTACAGTACTGTGCAATTTATGTACAATCCCAAATTCTTGAGATTGTATTATGTCATGGCCTCCAGCTTGTAATGAAGAATAAAAAGATGTAAAAATGTACGAGTAGATCCGATTTTAACATGTTTAGGGATCCTCTGAAATTATAAGGAGTTCATTTCAACCATTTCAATAGAACTAAACATGGCTGAGACCGTATCACCTTGTAAAAGATACTAATTGTATAATAAATCACGAGGCTTCTGGTCCTCCCTTCCAGGGCTTGGAACTCCTAGCAAATATACATGCAGATCAACCCAAATGATAAGACTTCACAAGGGACCAAATTCGCCCATAATGCAGTGAGCGAGTTCAGCCTGGAGGGCATGGAAGAGTTTTCTGAACTTCTCGAGGGAGAGGGCAATTAAAAGCCACCTTCCAATCATAGAATGAAACACAGAACGCGTCAGAATCTTGAAATGTTACGATCCAGAGGTAAGCATAACTATATCGAGAAATTAATATGGAATACTTTACTTATCCCGCCCACCACCATCACACAAAATATTGCAATGTTTAGATGGTTCAGATCTGGCCCCGTGTCTTTCACAAAGCCCCGTCCGTTTTCTATCGACTACGCGCTTCAGCCTAGTAAAGGTAATCTTTGAGCTGGCGATGGATCTGCTGCAAAGAACATTTGGAGCCAGAAGAGGAGAGGCGGGGAGAGGACCTGAAGGATCACCTCCAGCAGGTCTAACTGATGCCGTCGTCTCCTGTCAGGTTCGCCCGAAGGTTGAGTTGAGTTTGTGATGTATTCGCAGGATAACTGTAAAACCGGTATCGCGCCTGGCTAGCAATTGAGATACAGCAACTTTCTTCAAAGCGTAAATCGCTGAAAAGAAAGAACCGTATAATCCCCAGGCAGCGTTTAGGATTGCAACTATGTATCCAACCATTCAGAATGGATTGTTTGACGGAAGAAAACGAAAGAGAAAGAGATAACGGAGAGAGGGATGTGTGCCATTTAAAATCAACAGGACAGAAGGGGGACAGGACAACTTTAGGCGTGTCCACTGTCGCGTCGGAAGTCAGTCGGACGGACACCTGTTAAGCCGGCTTAGCTTCGCCATCTGAAAGCAAAGAGTTAGGTTTAGAGAGCAGGAAAGAAAATAGAAAAGCTATTCAAAACCAAATTCGTATAAAAACGAAATTTTTTTTAAATGGAGGGGGGGGAGAGGAAGAGAACACCTGAACAGAAAAGATGTAATCTAAACTTAGAGCAGAAGGTCCCACGTCCGAAGCCGCGTCAAAAGGAGAAAACGCCGCTGACCCGAAATAGGCGTCCACTTGCAAGAGCAGCAGGCAGTAAGTGGCGGCTGTGGCGATCAGAGAAGCGCGCAGAGGCAGCAGCGCGGTCTCCCCCGGCGGCAGGCGCATGGTGCCAGCTTCTGCTGCTGCGTCGCGATCCGCCGCTTCCCTGGCTCGGCATGGCGCTGCGCTCTCAGCGCCCGGCGCTCCCGGATCACTTTAAAAAGGCACCTGGGCGGGCGAGGGACGCCCTCTCTCGGTCCCGCCTCCGAGCTGGAGGGCGAGGGCAAAGGGCCGCTGAAGGTGCGGCTCGCCTCAGGGGCTGAGAGGTGGTGCGCGGATCCCTCGTGGAACCTCAGGCCGGTCCCGACAATCGTCCTGGCCCGTGGCCGCAGCTGGGCTCAAGAGGGTGGCTGTTAAGCTACAGTCCAGGAGGAGACAAGAAAGGAGATGCACCCTCGGTCATCGGGGGTATTTGTGCCACTAGCCTACCGCATTATAAGGAATTAGCGGGCTGGTTGTATTGTTTTGAGTTTGTAAAACGGCCTTGTCGCCCCTCGCGTGGGAAACAGAAATAATCACTGCCCCGCAGCACAGAGAACATTTGAGTTTGCATCATTTGCAGAACTACGAATTAGCCAGCCTCGTTTTAACTTCTTGTTCAAACCCAGTCAGGAAGGCCAGATTCTCTTTCAGTTTGTTGTGAGAATCCAGAACATTAGGGTGACTGGGCCACCCAGGATCCTAGTTCATTAGGAGGGCATAAGCCCCTGCAAGCCCCTATTTGCTCACTTGACCTATCCACTGAACAAGATGCACCAGACAGAACTTTACACTACACCCTCCTCTTACTTTTCCATTTTAACCTTCCATATTTTCCCAGCATTGTTTAACACACCTCCACCTCATGGAGAAGACGAAAGTAGATTTTTCTCACTAGCTGATAGAGCTGAGCAAAGACACTTTTTTTATTGGCGCAGAAGTTGGTCTTCTGATTCATTTGTGAAGTTAGAGTGCGCAATACAGCACTGCAACATTGTTGAAAAAGCAGGGGAGAAAAACCATGGATCTTCCTTGGAAAGATTTGTGGCACATGTGTTATGTGTATAGATACTGTGTTACAGCATGCCGTTTGTACTCTAATCCTACTGGTACATCCTACTGTATTTTTGTTTTATGCCAATCACAGTAGGGTTGTTGAGCAAATGTGACTTTGTCCACCTTCAGTACTAGAATGTATGGCTCCCAGTATAGCATCTGCCTGTTTACTTACATATTGTCTTATCCTTGCCATTGTGCCGTCTTACAAAAGATATCAAACATCAAAATACAAAATAATCTTCAATGGAACAGTGGAAAAAACTGTCCTTCATTTTTTAAAAAGAAAAGTTTCTCTATTTGTATGAATATATTTACAGTTAGTCCTTGACTTGCAATCACAAATGGGAGTAGAATTTCCATGGCCAAGTAATCATAAAGTAAGATATCATATGACTTCCCAGCCCTCAGTAAGGTGGGGAGCCAACCTTCTGACTGCTGTTTTCAACTCCATCCACCCCCTTATCTATCTCCCTTGCCCCATATCTTCCCTTTTGACTGGCCTCCTAGTGCATGGCAAGCAATCCCAGAGCTGCATGGTTCTGGGGCTATTTGCTACCCCAAAAGGCAAGAAATAACCCCAGAACCACACAGCTCTAGGATTGCTAGCCATTCCCCCAGGAAGCTGCAGCATCCCAGCCCAGTCCTATTTTGCCCTTGCCACTCTCAACTCTGAAACTCCTACCACCCTGGGCTCCACCACATCAACTGATTCTTACTTCCACTGTGGATAAAGTGTGTTTGGGCTGGGTGTTGGCTGGGTGTTGGCTGTTGGGGAAAAAAGGCTAAAAGAGGCATGGCATCAAAAGCCCCCTTGCACTTTGGGGGGAGGGGAGTCAAAAGCAGCCAAAGGACATCTTGTGGGGGGCAGGGTTCCCCCCCCCCCCCCCCCCGTGGCATGAAGAGGCATTTTGATGCTATGGACCTGGAGCTGTTGCTTGCTTGTTTCTTATGTGGTGCCCCGGGCTGGGATTGGGTTTCCTGGAATGCTGCAAGAAGCAGTGATAAGCAAGCAGCAGTCCCAGATCTGCAGTGCCCCAGGAAGCCCAATTCCAGCCTGGGGAAGTAAGCAAGTATGCTGCCAAGAACCGGGCAGAACCGGTCAAATACCACTACTGCTTGAAACACAATAAATCTGAAAGCGCCAAGTTAAGATATTGTCAAGTGCAGGAAATCAGGAGTCCAGGCAATTCAAATGAATTTTGTATCCAAGGCCAGTGATAGGATTCAAATTTTTTTACTAATGGTTCTGTGGGCGTGGCTTGGTGGGCGTGGCAGGGGAAGGATCCTGTAAAATCTCCAGTCAGAGGTGGCATTTGCCAGTTCTCCAAACTACTCAAAATTTCCACTACCGGTTCTCCAGAACTGGTCAGAACCTGCTGAATACCACCTTTGATATGATCGCAATTTAAGCAAGTATTATAATGTAGGTTTGTTCACACAAGCACTATTAGAAAAGGTGTAAAAATACATAGTATGTGGAAGCATTGGGACCGAATAAGAGCATTGTCCAAAGCATCATTGAGCATGGAAATTCAGAACTTTTGTTGGTGGGGTGCAGAGAGTCCATTTGGGTAACCCAGATTAGGGCAATCTGGCTTTGAATTTAAGGCACTCATTTCTTAGAAAAATAAAAAATTGTATAATAAGAATGTATGGCTTAAATTGTTTCTAAGCTACCTGACAATAAAACTTTTCTAAACAAAGTTATTAAGATATCAAGTTTTTGGAGATTTCAAGGTTAAGGAAAATATTTTGTCCTTTTCTCATAAATATGAACATCTGAGGCCACCTGATGATAGATAATATATGGAGAACAATAAAGAAATATTAAACAAGATTCATAAATTCCATACATATGAAACTGGTCAACTTGAAAAAATATATAAATTGATTAGGCAGTTAGGAAGCTAGTTATGAAGGTGCTATTATTTCTTATTTAGGGGTTTCCTGGCCCTCCTGATTGGGCATGTTTTTTCTTTATTTTTCTTTTCTTTCTTTCTTTTTTTAATTTTTTGGAAGCCTGAGCAATTATAACAAGGCTTTCAAGTTCTACAGGAGTTGTGCCTAATTAACCTAGAGAACAAGGAAATATTTAAATAATATTATTTCATGCCAGAAGTTTAATTGATAGTATTCATTTGCATGATCATTTGCATCTCTAATTAAAATCTAAAGGCTAGGATTTAGTTGGCTGAATGTCATTAGTTAAAGTTCTGTGTGTTTTTGCAAGATGAGTCCATTCAAAAGCAAACTCTTTTGAACTATTCAAAACTGATGCACATTCAGGAATAAAGGGTGAAAAAAACCCGAAATAACAAATTATAATGTAATATATTTTACATTTTTATTTTAATATGTGTATCTTCATTACTGCTGTCACCTTTGCAAATGTATAAGATATATGGATTCAAGGATGGACTAAGTTATGTTTTCTGGATTTTATTGAATGTCATAATTGGCTAGGATTACATGTTGCACTAAGCATAACCAGGGGTGGGATTCAAATTTTTTAACAACCAGTTCTGTGGGTGTGGCTAAATTAGTGGGCTTGGCTTGGTGGTCATTGGCTGGGCGTGGCCAACTCAATATCACTCACATCGAGGCACGCATCTCCTCGCCTGGCCTCTCATGACTGTGGGGATGCTGCAACAGTCATAAGTGCGAAAAATGGTCATAAGTCACTTTTTTCAATGCCATTGTAACTTTGAATGGTCACTCCACACAAGCAAAGTAGGGGGGAAAACTCCAGAGAAGTTCCTGAGACAGGAAGTCTAGTCCTGCCAAGAATGTAATAAGAGTTAACCGAGAGGCAGTTTCTCTAAGCAACACCAGAATGTTTCCTTCCTGCCTTCCTTACAGGATTAGGCCAGTAATTTCTTCTAACAACCGGTTCTCCAAACTGCTTAGAATGTTAACAACCAGTTCTAGCGAATAGGTGCAAACTGGTAGAATCCCACCCCGAGCATAACATATGATTTACATACCATAGCACTTGGGTTCACATAATATGCCAACATTACAAAAAAAACAACAACCTCATTGTGATTAGATTCATGTATCATAGTAAAACATGACATCTTTGTTTTGGTTTTTCTTAGTGTGTTGTGTGACTATAATGGCCATAGTATATTGTATAATGCATTCTCCTTTCTCTAACATGAGTGAATTTCTGGGCACAGCTGTTGTCTGCACACAGGAGTTGTCAGAATCATCTCTAGCGCTTCCAGAGTAGTGGCAATACCAATGAAGTTGGATATCTGTACTTTACAACATACACTTCACTAGAAATTGTTCATTTGGAGGCCAGGGAAGTGTTAAGAAATTTAAGATTGGTAAAAGTCCTATGTCTACTCCCAGGTCATGTGGGCTAAAATAGGTTTATGGCTCAACAATGAAAGAACATTTGGTGTGAGAAGAGAGGTATTTACCTTAAATATATATATTTGATAAAAAAGAAATGAAGCATTTTGGAAGTAACAAAGAGGAAGTGTATTCATAATTGTATTTAAAATTGCTATAAAGATTGGAAGCTACCTCTTTGTATCTTTTTTCTTTCTTTTCTGATTTTTTTAATTTACTTTTTTCCTTGCTTGCATTTTTAGCTGTCTCTTTGAATTCTTTCTTTTGAAAATGTTCAATATGAGGCATGTTGCAGAACTTCACATAAATGCTGATGAAATTGGAGCTGGCAGACTATTAGAGCTGAAATAGTAGCTTAATAAAAAAAATAGCAGTACTTTTAAACAAATCCTTAAGAAAGAGATAGGTGAAGATTTTTTTGAATATTCTTATTTATTTTTAAAAAAACAAGAGTGAAGATAAAAGATAATGGTAGAAAGATAAGATATTGTTTATTTTGCTTTTACTCTCAGTCTAAAATCTAATATTTCTGTAGAGATTAATAATAGCATCAATGTCATCCTTGCCAATACTATTCTGATCTTCATTTGTTAAAATTAATGTAGTTCAACTTGCCTCATGTGAAAGAAATGCTTAGACTGTCAAAACATATGTGATTAAAGAACAAA